ACTGAAGAACAGGAAGAAGGTGAGAGTCTTTAGTAAGTTGTAGGTGGGAGAGTGACAAGCTAGGTGTGCTGCTGTCCAGGCACATGCCTGGCTCACACAGCCATGGCAGCCACTGCACTAGCTGAGGCTTGGGGTAGGAAAAGTTGGAGCAGTGTATGCAGAACAGGGTAGTTCTGCTGCGAGCTGGACACAGCGCATGCCTTAGCACACGCAGTCCCCCTGTGCACATGTCAGGTCCTTTTGTTACTAGTGGTCAGGGTCTGGACTGGGTGTTTCCAGGTTTTTTGTGTCTTTTTCAGAGCATTGAAACAAATACACACAGATTTGCAAAAGTTGAAAATACTTTCCTCAAAGCAAAGTAACAGTACAGGTCAGAAAATGTGTTTTCAAGAGTGACAAGGGGCATGTGAGTGAGGGTACTCAAGGACTTTGATTATCATCCCAGGGTTCCTTCCTTGAGGGTTCCATCTGAGGGTTGGTCTTGGTGGTTTCTAGTTTGAGTGACAGATTTTTAAGTTATATAACTGTTAAGGTTCAGATAGCCCTGCACTGTCACCAACAGGATCCCAAGGACTTCTCATGCTCCAGAGAAAAGGGAACCTAGCTGATAAGCACCTTGGTCTCTGAAGTCAAGAGAAGCAGACTTTTCTCCACTGTTTGGCCACCACAGCAGGCTTCCCCTTTGATCTCTAAAGAGGACAGGTTTTAACAGTCCCGCTCTCCCACTCCCCACCCCAACTTTTAAAAAAATACATCTTCCCTCCTTCTGCAGGAAGCAGAAGCCTCCCTTTTAAAAGACCCCAGCTCAAGACCCAGCCAGACATTTTCCCTGTCCATAAGGGAATCTGCCCCATGTGTTCCTTTGCTAATAAACCCTATTTTGATGGAGTTTTAGCTGTGCCTCGGTGCCTCATCATCCATTCGCTCATTCTCTGCCAATTTTTTACCTATCAATAACCATTTTTCTACTGGGTATAGTCACCTCCATTAATGCATCTTTTAAAACACATAAACTCACCCAATTATGCATATGCATAAGATGGTAAATAAGGGATTCTTCTAAAAGTTCACTTTGAGGACAGTTTATTGTACATGCTCCTAAAACCAGCCTAGGCCAGATCAACCAGATATTCCTACCAGGATATACAAGGATTATGTTTAAAGAAATCAAGTTTGACAGTTATTAAGGGAGAAGAAACACTGTTCAGAGAGAGGTATGCCTACAGCTTAGTGTAGGTGACGGCTCTAGGTTGCTAGGTGCATTATTCTGAGGGATGTGTGTGTGTGTGTGTGTGTGTGTGTGTGTGTGTGTGTGCGCACATGCAAATCTTTGTATGTGCATGTGTGTGTGTAGGTGCACATGTACATGTGCATGTGGAGGTCAGAGGTGTTTAGGAGACGTGGGGTGTCAAGGCCCCTGACATGATCATTAACACAATGCTGATCTTAATTACCCCAGATGCCCGTCAGTGCTCTGGGGAGCTCTGAAGCTAGCTGTTGAGATCTGTGAAGCTCAGGTCTGCAAGACTCACATAGCTCCTTGGAGACCTGCTCTTGTTCTCACATGGATGCAGTGAGCCCCTTCACCATAGATGGTTAAAATTCCAATTCCAGATTTGGGCTTTAACACTTGGACAAAAATCATGATCAAGTGTGGCAACAGAATTCCAACAGTGAGCTTGGTGAATTCCTGACCTGGAACTGAATTCTAGGCCTACTCTACTGTTTAGTAGTAGCCTGAAGATCTTGGTTTGGGGTAGGGATGTGGCTTAGTTGGTAGAATACTTGCCTAACATGCCCACAGCCCTGGGGTTGATTTCTAGCACTGCATTAAATCAGACATGATGGTATGTAGCTGTAATCCTAGCACATGGAGGTAAAAGTAGAAGAATCAGGAATAAAGGTCATCCTCAGCTGCATAGAGAGTTTGAGGCCAGTCTGGGTTATATGAGTCCCTATTTCAACCAAAGGCAAAGAAGGAAAAGAGGAGGTGGAGGAGGACAAGGAAAGATATCTCTAAGATCTCTTGGTAGATGTGTCAAACTGGATAGTTTGGTTTTTCTGTTCATCTGTGAGAAGATGTTACAGAAATATATTTATTTTATTAATATTTTATTTATTATTTTAATTTTTATGTGTATGAATCTTTTGCCTGCATGTATGTAAGTGCACCATATGCATGCAATGCCAGCTGAGGCCAGAAGAGGGTATAGGATCCCCTAGAACCAGAGTTATGGATACTTGTTAGTTACCAAGTGGGTCCTGTGGAAGAACTGCAAGTGTTCTTAACTACTGAGTCATCTCTCCAGTTCACAGAAATATTTTTAAGTATGTCGCTCAATGTGACCCCAAACGCACATCTCCAGCCTTGACCCTTCCTGAAGAGCAACTCAGTCCATTTCCCTCTAGGCATCTCTTGGCTGGCTTCATGATTTCTCCACTTACTGTGTCCAAAATTGAATCCTCAGGCCCAGGATAGTGGTGCACCCCTACTACCCCAGCACTCAGGAGGCTGAAGTAATAGCATTGCCACAAGTTCAAGGCCAGCCAAAGCTACATGGCAAGGCCAAGTCTCAAAACAAAAACCATGAAGATTGAACTCCCAGCCCATTCCCTCCCCACCTATCCTCATATTTTTCCTCAGCACACTGAAGCTTGTTTTCCTAATTCTTTACTCAGATCAAGCATCAGGGAGATACTCTGTGTCTCTTCCATCCAGAATCTCCTGTCTCTCTCACCCCCACAGCCACTGCCCTGTCTGAACTATGATCATCTTACCACTGAGCCATCTCTCCAGCCTCTATGAACATAATTTTAATCATCTTAATGATCCTTATACCAAAGGTTCCCTAACTGAGGTTTTCTGGGTTGGTAATGTCTGGATTTGCTCTGACAGAGTGAGCTATTTGTCACATTTGCTGCGTTTGGAAATAAACCTCATGATGCCTCATAAAAGGCCCTAGTCTCCTCTCTCTCTCTCTCTTTCTGTCTGTCTTTCTCTCTCTATCTCTCCTCCTTCTCTCTCTCCCCCTCCCTCCTTCCTTCCCTCTCTCTCCCCCCCTTCCCCCTCACACACACACATGCACATGTGCACACACGTACATTTTAAGCAAGCCCTACCTCTGTGACTAAGTTATGAGAGTCTATATTTTACACAGGGGACAATTAAGTGCATAGAGCACAGTCTGCCTGGATTCCCAGAGGAATTGCATTCTCAAATCTCATCTTACTGACTTCAGTGCAAATGGAAATTATTGTGTGAGGGACTGATGTGTTAATTAAGTTTTGTAATTTAGTCTTTTTCTTTAGTGGTTTTTCTCGCCCTTCAGCCTTTTTCCTTTGCTCTGCCAGTGCCAGAAGTTTTCTCAGCGTCACTTTTTGGCTTTATTTCTCTCTCTAAGATGTCTGTCATCACTCACCAGATTATAGAGTATTGTGTAACCCCAGACTGAGTTGAAGGTGATCAGATCCTAGCACACTGTCAGGATTCAGAGACCCTGTGTGCTCCACGTACTGTTTATGAGAGGCTGGACCCAGTGACAAATTGCAGCTTGGCACTCAGCTGGGACACACACTTTCGCTTGCATAAAGCCATATGATCCTCCACTCCCAGAGATTCGTAGATCTGTCCAGAGATGTGGTGGAAAACAGCACTTCTTACAAAATGAAAATCCAAGGGAGTTTTATTGGCTCCCTTCGCTCTTGCTTAGCCCACACTGCCCTCATTCCCCTCAAGCCAGCAGTGAACCATCCTGGGTGTGTGTAGATGACACAAATGGTGAAATCTGCTGAAACTTCCGGAAGGTAAGAAGTATCCAGAGCTTTCCAGGGTGCTTCAACACTTCTGTTCAGGAGAGGCTCAACTGTACAATTCCCACGATCCTCTGGATCTTCTTATTCTAAAAGATGGGAAGTTTTCTACAGTCATACCCACAGGACATGGCCTTCTTTGAACCTGAGTTGACACTGAACTTGAGGAGAACAGCATCATAGCTCACATGGTCTGTGGCCTGTCCTTGTCATTGCACTGTCCCCAAGCTCAGCTTCCTCCACATCTGATCTCATCATGTCCCAGAGGTTTGATGTCACATGAAGACTAAGTCATAGTTGGGTAGCGTCAACACATTTCTCCCTTCCCCTCATCTCTACTAGATGAGGTTGCATTTGTTTGCTCATTCAACCCAACTTTCACCTTGCATTTATCTTAGTGTTCTAATAATATGCACAGAGGGAAAGGTCAGAGGACCTGATTGCAGAAACAGAAAGATCATTGTTGGTGTAATAGTCCCCTGTTGATAGGTGCAACTTATCCATTCGTATTTTCATTTGCTGAGTTCTGGCCTGTGATGTGCGGTGTTCCCTCTGTGCAAATAGTTAATATTGAGTGTTCCTGCTTTTTTTTTTTTCAATTGGTCTTTTTGAGACAGGGTCTCCATGTAGCACCAGCTGACATAGAATTCACTATATAGATCAGGTCTTGACTTCACAGACATTTGCCTGCCTTTGTCTCCCGAGTGCTGGGATTAAAGGAATATGCCATCATGCCTGGCCTGAGTGTTCCTTCTTGCAGTGGCCCCAAATCCCAGGTTTCTCAAGGAGGCTCTGAAGGGACACCCTCCCCCTTCCACTGTCAGAGCACTTGCATATGACAGTTGCCCACCCCAGCTTGGGGACAGAGCAGCTCTGTGGCCACACTAGCCACGTGTCACTGAGAATCTAAGTTGGCTATCTAAATCTCAACTCAACAGCTAAGTCTTCCAAATTTTGAAACCAAACTTGAGAGTTAATAACCTTGGACCTTGCAGAAATGGTGATGGTTCTTAAAAGAAGTGTAAAGTTTACATCAATATTTAATTGCTATAGTTTGGAAGAGTTTGGATCTGCGATTGGAGGTCAGTGTCCATCTGCTGTAAGCAGGCTGGCTCCCTCTCAAGGGCCCTGGGGGGGGGCATCTTCAGAGGGCCTAGGTTGCCTCTTGTGTGCTCCTTAACAACATCCACAGTCTCTCTGGGGGGAGCTCCAGATGGTGAAGGAGACACTACAGGCCATGATCCTGCAACTGCAGCAGACAAAGGAAACAGGGGAGGAGAGGCCACAGCTTCCTGCCCAGCAGCTGGTACCTGGGAAGCAAAGGCCTGAGGTGTGAGCACGGAGTGGGAGCTGGAGAGGGGGTGAGCCAAGCTTCTCAGTGTAGAACAGGGGCTGGGATGGAGGTGGGCCATGTGTCGTTGGTATGGAGTTTGAGGATATGGAGGTGAGCTACCACGGCATTAGTATGACTCTGGTACCGCCTATCCCTTTGCAATCAGCCGTCAATTCAGAGACATAGAGCCATGGTTTTCTTCAGTGTGAAGGTGGCTTTCACTTAGACTGAGATGGGCACCATGCATGTTGGGATGGAGAGTGAATTGCTACCTTTCTCCTGAATGTCACATGAGTTTTCTTTCCCATGTCACCATGGGAGCATCCAGCACAGGAGCTAGGAGTCACTTCATCTCAGCCCCAACCAGACAAAGGCTAGGTGAATTCTGCTAGAACAAGTCTCTTTTCTCAGGACTAATTTTGTTTTCTGCTACAGCTAAGGTCTTTCCTGATTCTAGAACCTCTGAAGGAAGCCAAACTCGACCTGGCCTCTATACCTGCTGCATCTTCCTACAGATGTGTGATCCGGCAGCACCTATAACCTCACAGTCTGTGTGGGTTCACAGCTCCTCAGGCCCCTGGGGGTCCATCCAGTCTCAGAAGTCAATAGGGCGCTTTCCCAGTGTCTCAGCAAGGCAAGGTGCATCCTTTTTGTGTTTTCTGGTCCCTACTTCGTCGGGACATCCTGAGATTCTGGCTCAGTGAGGTGGGAGGTAGGAGAGCATGGATGTGTAAGGAGACCCAAGACACTTCTGAGTCTCTCCAATTACTGCTGAAGCAGTTCCCTTCTGCTCCCAAGCACAGTGTGGAGACCACAGTACAGTGTAGGTCCACAGTGGCCTCAAGAGACACGCTGAGGAGGCATGTTAGCTACTTTGCTCTTGCTGTGACAAAATACTTGGCAAAAGCAACTTAGGAAGGAAGGAAGAAAGGGAGGGAGGTAGGGAGGGAGGGAGGAAGGAAGGAAGGAAGGAAGCAAGGAAGGAAGGAAGGAAGGGCATGTTTTGGCTCACAGTTGAGAATACACCCCACCATGGCAGGGAAGGCAAAGTGACGGGGGTGTGAGGTAGCTGGTTACCTCTCATCCTCAGTCAGGAAGTGGAGAGAGATGAACGCTCATGTTCAGCTCCTTTTCTCCTTTTTATTCAGTACAAAAATCCCAGCCTGTGGGATGATGCCACTCACATTCATGGTGGGTCTTCCCTCCTCAGTTAAATCTCTCTGGAACCAGGGGTTGGAGAGATGGCCCAGTGGTTAAGAGCACTGGCTGCTCTTGCAGAGGACCTGGGTTCAATTCCTAGAACCCACATGGCAGCTAACAACCATATATAACTCCAGTTCCAGGGGATCCAAAGCCCTCTTCTGACCTCCTCAGGCATTGTACTACACAGGTACACTTATATACATGCAGGCAAAACACACAAAACAAATAATAAACTAAAATACATACATATATACACATATATATAAAACTCTCTCTGGAAACAACCCCACAGACTAACTCAGAGGTGTGTCTCATAGGTGATTCTAAGTCAAGTCAAACTGACAATAAAGATGAGCCATCACAAGAGGCTACCTCAGCCATGCCTCACTAACAAGTCTGTAAGTCCATAATTCCCACTTGAGAGCCTCAGCACACCTCAGCAGCCAGCTTGTGAGTGTGCTGGTGTCATGAAGCCCACCAGCTTCTACCTTGCCCCAACCCTTCCAGGTTTAATTGACCTTGTGTTTTTCATGTAAATCCTGCTCTTTGTCCCCATTCTTGGAGGGTACCACCCAGCATCCTGGGACTCTAGTGCACATGTTACCTTATGTCACTGACATCTGCATATTAGAGACCAAGCCCAATGTTCTCAGCCATCGAGCTTAGAGACCGCTGCCATGGTCTGGCAAGTTTGACTGTGAGTCTGGTCTTTCTAAGGTGCTCTGTTCTCCCTTGTATGGACAGGGCTGGAGGTGCTCGTGCCCCTTCGGGGTCCAGGGACATGCTACAGCTTTGATCACTTTCTGATCAATTTGCCATTTCCAGAAGGCATCTGGAGCTTTGCTAAGGACTACCCTGCCCTCAAGTGAGGAGATACAGGTTTCAGCCAGCTCCAGCCAGAGGCCAGGTGACAGCAGATCAATTTCCTCCGGCTTCATCTGGAGCTGTTTTGAAGGCACACTCTGCATACTCAAATAATAAGTGAGGTTAGTTTATTCCTAGATTTGAGTTTTCAATAATGGACCAAATTACTGAATTATTTATTATTGTTCCTTAAAAATAATGGTAAACCAGTCACATGGAACCTCTTGAATCCTTAATTCCAGGGAAGCAAAACTTGAAGTCGGGTTTGTCCCATATTGCCAATAACAGATTCTTACATGACGTGTCAGGTTGGTATCACTCCAAGCTCTTCACAACCATGTCCTGTGATCCTCTCCTCAGCTTCAAGAAGTAGGGTCTATAGATGGTGCTTCTGGGCCTTAGAAAGGCCAAGTCCCCTTGCCTAAGGCTCAGAGCTAGCTTTAGAGGAGAACCAAAGGGAGTCCTGACCACCACAGGTAGGCAGCTGCTCCTAACCAGAATGCTTCCCAAAGTGCCTTTGATGTCTTCTCTTTATTCTGAGCCATGAAACTCATTTGTTTATCCAGTTAAAAACCATGATCATCCTGTGAATTCTGCTTGAGAGTAAAAGACACTGAACCCAGTACAATACAGACTCCTCTCTCCCAGCAGGCCCCACTGTGTAGCCTGAGCTCCAATAGGCTGCAGCAAGCTTACCCTCTAGCCACTCTCCTGACCCCTTCCCAGTCACCCCAAAAGTCATATCAGGAGTTCCTGCTCACAGCCTGACACTGGGTGGATCTTCTAGACGTTCTCCATGTCATTGTTCAGAACTTGTCAAGTTGATGCGGTGAACAACAGAGACTACATACTCATCAGTCGTCACCTTTTGTGTAAATAGTTCACACTTATCTTCAATATCCTCGCCTTGTCTAATCTCTGAATCTTGTCATGTAATTTATTGCTTTATTAAGTAACTGTTTGTTACATGAAATTAAAACTGATGTCCAAGCCTTGGTGGTCCTTGGGGTTGCTTTTGTGTTCCTGAGTGTAGGATGGAAAGTAGATCAGGTTGGTTCAGATCAGCTTTCTGTGAAAGATGGTTAATTAATTGTGTGTTTACTTAAATGACCCCAAACATTTGTAAAGTCATATAAAATTGTGTGTGTGTGTGTGCACATGTATGTGTGTTTACTTTCAGATAACAACAAATCAGAAAACCATAGAAAATTCTGTTCTAGAGCCCTTGAGTGAGTTGGAACTAAAAGTAGCCTTACCACACGGGGACCAGACAGCACCAGGCATGCCAGTGGGAGCATTTCATTGGAGAATCAGGACGGTTCAGTTAGACGTGAGAAATACGTGAGGGTCGGGACTGGGAAGGCAGAGGCAGGACCTTGCTGCTCATGGGGCTGTCCTTGTAAGTGGACAGCCTAAGAAAGAGAACAGGGAAACTTTTCAATCTACAGGCCAAATCAAAAGCTATACGAACAATAATTTCAGACTAGACTATAAGAAAAGACCCATTTTCAATAGCAACAAAATAGAGAAAATCTTGGATATGGTGGCCCATGCCTGTAATCCCAGTGTTTGAGATGTGGAGGCAGGATGATCAGGAGTTCAGTGTCAGCTTTAGCTACATGAAAACACATACAAATACGCATATATAACAGGGGGCTAGGAACATACATAAATAAGAGATGACTAGTCTTTGATGATGGAAATTTTAAGATGAAGGGCATAAGAGAAGGTTGGAAATGGAGCTACTTTCTGCCCTTCATCAATCATCACTTACACAGCTATCGCTCAATTCATTTATAGGTGTGCTTTGAAATGTCATGTCATACACACTCATGCTCTCCTACTGTAGAAAAGAAGTTATCACTGACACCAGCACAATGGACAGCCCAGAAAATTCCTTGGCCTTCCTTGTTATGGTTCCAGGAGCAACTGTGAGTCCTTTAGAACTTCCTTCACTGTGGGATGAGCCAGCCCATTGCTGTTCATTCAGTCACTTGAGCATTCAGTGATCTCCTCCCATAAAAGTCCCTCTGACATTAATGAGCATAGAGATTAGAAAGCTTCATGGAAATTATCCAGCAAATAATGACAGTTTTGAACACTGATTCCTGGAACTCTTGGCTTTAAGTCTGTGTGATAAATATTAACCCTAACATATGAAGGGACACTTACAGTCACTTAGTTCATGTTGAACAAGTTATGATTTTTCCTATATTATTCATGACAAAAATATTAAAAGAATTTGCTTACAAACATTCATACATAACCTATTATCATTTTTTTAGTATTTATCCATAGAAAAATGAATGTTCAATAAGTTATGCCAGCATTATTTGCTTGTTTGTTTATTTGTTTTGGGACAGGGTCTCATGTCTCCCAGGCTGGCTTTCAACTTACTAAGGATGGCCTTGAACTTCTGATCCTTCTGTCCCCACCTCCTGAGTACTGGGGTTATAGATACACCACCACTCCTGGTTTGATATGGTGCTGGGGATCAAACCCAAGGCTTTGTGCATGCTAGGCAATCACTCCACCCACCAAGCCATACTTTACTCCCCGGAAAACTTTTCATTCTTCTTTTGTGTTCAATGCTATGAGTGCTATTATCATTGTTTTTATTGTACACCTTTTTTCAAATTGATCCATTGAATTTTTCTGATATTTTGATGTCAGAGTCAGTGCTATAGTGACACCCTCATGCATGAAGCCTTTCCTTGCCTTGAACTACATCCTGAAGAGAAGTCCCCAGGAGACGAGCTGCACATCCACAATGAATTAGCACAGGGAAGAGGACTGAAGGCGGTAACCAAAGCAGCATGCAGCCCTGCCTCTTCTGGGGATCCTGACCTAGTATCAAGCAGCTCCACTGATTTTGTGGGGTTTCTGCTCATTGTGAATGAATTTCCATGCTAGGTAAACTGCAGTTCAGCATCTCTTGCCTCTTAAGTGAGCAGCGTAGATGCTGCAGCTGCATCTTACAGACCTTCCTGCCATCCATGCCGTGCATATTGGCCAGTGCCCATGGTGTCTTGTCTCCGAGACCTAGAAGAACTCAAAGGTTCAAGACCAGAGTGTGACTTGTCTGCAGCATATCTCCTCCTTTCTCAATTCTTAGTTTGAACATTGACAAAATGAAGTTGATGGTAACAAAGCCTGTCATCCATGCTTGTGATGGAGAATCTGGACTCTGAGGAGGCTACACAGGGTGAAGACCAAAAGATAAAGCAGAATTCACATACTTTCAAAAGATTGGGACCAAGAGCAGGCAAGGTGGCTCAGTGGGGAAAGGCACCTGCCACCAAGCCAGATGATCTGAGTTCAATCCCTGGCACCCACAATAGAAGGCAAGAACTGACTCCTGTAAGTTGTCCTCTGACCTCCATGTGTGCATCATAGAAGGTGCACACCCACTTAAAGATTTTAATGTAAGAAAATTTAGGAACAGGGGTTGGGAATGGCTCAGTCAGTAAAGTACTTGTTATACAAGCCTGAAAACCCGAGTTGGATCCCCAGAACCCACATAAAAGCCAGGTGTGGTGGCTCATGTTTATAATCCCAGCAGTGGGGCAGTAGAGATAGGAGTGAGTATCCCTGGGACCCTCTCAGCCTAACCTAATTGCTGAGTTCCAAGCCAATGAAAGAGTCTATACAAAAAAAACCAAAAAAACCAAAAAGGTAGACAGCTCCCAATGAACACTATCTGGTGTTGCCCTCTGGTGTCTACATGCATGGGCACATATATGTACACATATGCACACATACAAACACACAAATAGGAATGTGACTACTATATGATATGATTAGAATCGAGTTAAGGGGGATGCAGCAAGGTCAAAGATGCAGTGACTGTCCTAAAGGGA